GGGCTGGCTCTGCAGGCTCAGCTCTGCCTCTCCTGCTCCGGGCCGGGTGGAGGTCTCCCTGGGAAGCTGCCGCTGGCCTCCCCTGCAGGGGCCTCCAACCCCGGATCAGGCCTGAGACACTCCTTTCTGTGTCTTTGGTCCAGCGAGGCCGGTTTCAGATTCCTGACCTTGGACTTGTGAGATGATGGACTCCGGCTGTTTTTCAAGACACAAGTTGACAGTGGCTGGTTGCGGTGACACAGCACCCTCCACACTCAGGGGGCCTCGTCTCTGGGCCACCAAGGCTGCAGGAGAGAGGGAATGGGACCCCCTCCACCCTCTGGTACTCCACCCTGGACACCCTCCAAGTCTTGTCACCCAGAGGCTGGGGCAGTGTACCGGAGGCTGCCCAGTGGCGAGGCTCCCAGGTCACGCCTGCCTCAGCACCTCTCGGAGCATCTTCTAAACTCAAGGGGATTGCGGGATCCAGATTTGAAACTGACCCGAGACACCTATGGGAGAGTGGCCATGAGAACTCCAGTTCTGCTCGTCCAGCCTACGGTCCAGCCGTGGGGCTCTGGCCTGGCAGGTTCCTGGGTGGGTCATTTCCCCCTGACCCAGAAGCAGGCAGAGCTACCAACTCCCACACCTCTCACCACCAGGACTGGGTGAATCCAGGTGGCATCCACAGGGGGAGGTGACTCAGTCCAAACAGGAATGAAGGGCAGTCCTCGCTCAGTGGAGGGCACTGGCTGAGCCCGGGCAGGCCCTGGGTTCAACTCCCTGCACCACAAAAGAAGAAGGAGGGAGCCCTGGCACCTGGCTGGCCGTGGATAGATCTAGAACCACCGTGCTGAGGGAAAGAGGCCCCGTGGTGCAGAGTCCACCCACAGGAGAGGCCAGGCCAGGCACAGGCAGGGGGACAGAGAGCAGGTGAGTGGCCGTGGGGCTGGAGGAGGCTGCATGGGGCTTCTCAAGGGCTCTGCCAATGTCCTGCCAGGGCTGGGGGCAGCTCAGCCGCAGGGTGGACGTTGGCAAGGACGAGGCGCATCCCCAGAAGGGAAAGGGGGGGGGGAGAGGGAGAGAGAGAGACAAGGAGAGAGAGAGAGAGAGAGAGAGAGAGAGAGAGAGAGAAGAGAAGAGAAGAGAAGAGAAGAGAAGAGAAGAGAAGAGAAGAGAAGAGGGGAGGGGAGAACAGGGGAAAAAGGAAGGAAGGAGAAAAAGAATGAAAGGGAGAGAAAGAAGAAAGAAAAGAACATGTCCAGTTGTTTGTGGGGAGAGCTGGACAACTCTGAATACACTGAAGCCACCACCCCACACACTTCCAGGGTGGAGTAGACCGCGTGGGGGTCAGAAGCTCAAGAAAGCAGGCTCCCGCTCTCCTTAACTGCTGGCCACCACTGCAAATGCTGCCCCTCAGGACGTCCCCTGGGGCTGGCCCCTGCCACCAGGCCAGCCCAGCCTCTGCTGTGCGTGGAGCTCCTCCGGGATCCCTGACAGCCCTGTGACCCGGGTGTGCACAGAGCTCCCAGTGCTGCGCTTCCATCCAGGTGAGACACACGGTCACATTAAGCCGCAGTGAGCGCACAGCTCTGTGCAAGAGAAGCACCCCTATTTCTATGTGCTTGCATCTTGTAAGACTGAGACCCTCTGACCATGAACCAGCTCCTGGTCACCCTCCCCAAGCCGCAAGACTCTCGCGCTGTTCTGTCTCCATGCCCCAGACTGGGCCTCTGCCCATGGAGGCTGCTCAGTGACCGGACCACTGCATGCAGTTGTGCAGGTCACAACCTGTACACACAGCCCTGCCTTGACCCTGAGGGCCCTCGAGGTTCCCAAATCCACGGGGCCCCCAGGTGTGCTCTGCGAATCCCCAAGAAAGAACACAATTTAGAGGCAGCCGCGGACTAAGGCGGTATCCTCCAGGGAGCGGATGCAGATTGCCTGGGGAGGAGGAAGGCTGCTTAAAGGCGCCTGTTTCCCTTGGGGTGGGGGGCGTGAAAGTGCTCCTGATTAGACAGGGTGCTGAGGCCCAGCCCCTGGACCGCACACTGGGACACAGTGGAGATGGTGACTTTCATGCTCCGTGTATTTCACCCCAGTCAACGAGGTGGGCGCCCTGGCCTGCTTGCCCGGCTCTGGGCAGCCTCAGCCCCCAGGGCCCTCCTGTATTCCAAGAGCAGATCAGGACCACTTGCGCCCCGCACCCTGGGCCTGGACCTGGCTCCTCTGGCTCCCACCCTCCTCCTCACCCTGGGTCTGGGCCACCCAGCTGAGGACACTTCGTTCCAGGGGCATCGGCACCTGGTGTTTTACTCAAATAAATGGTTACTGGTGGCTGAAGTTCCCGTGGCAGCCGCTCTTCTGCCGGGAAGACGTTCAGATGAATGGGGTGGGGTGGGTCCCCCAAGCTGCCTCCCCACAGGCAGCTATGCAAGCTCATCCCTGCAGGACAAGCCGGACTGGGCAGAGGCTGAAGTCCTGCCCTGGATCCCTGGGTCCCGCCCCAGCATCCCCAGGGGACTGGTGTGGGCTTCCAGGACCTCCTCATCTGGGGCCTGGGTACGCGGATCTTGCAACGAAGGCTAGGAAATCACAGCTTCCAGGCACTTTGCCGCATCCCTGGGGAAAGAAGGCATTAGAGGACCAGTCCTGGGTTCAAGTCTCTTACCAGCTGTTCTCTTGGGCGGGTTACTTAACTTCTCTGTGCCTGTTTCCTTCTGTGTAAAATGCAGATTAAAATACCTTTCAGGGGCTGGGGTTATGGCTCAGTGGTAGAGCACTTGCCTAGGTTGAGTGAGGCCCTGGGTTCAATCCTCAGCACCACATAAACAACAACCAAACAGGCTGGGGATATAGTCAGTTGGTGGAGTGCCTGTCTTGCATCACAAGGACCTGGGTTCAATCCCCAGCACCACACAAAAAATAAAATAATATAATAAAATAAATAAAATAAAATAATAATTTTAAAAAACCTGAAAACTAGTCATGGAACATAAAATTAAGCATTTTTAAGATTTTTTTTTTTTTTTTTTTTTTTTACTGAGGATTGAACCCAGGGGACTTTACCACTGACCCACACCCCTAGTGCTTTTTAATTTTTATTTCAACACAGGGTCTTGCTAAATTGCTGAGGCTGGCATCTAATTTGTGACCTCCTGCCTCTCAGCCTCTGCACCCCTGAGCTGGGCTTAAAACGAACCATTTTAGTGTATTCAGTCTGGTCGTATTTAGTAGAAACACCATGCACAACCACCACCTCTATCAAGTTCAAAAACGTGTTCATAACTATAGGAGCTGTTTTGATGATTAAATGAATTAGTGCTTCTAAAACGGCGCCTGGAACAGTAAATGCAAATGAGGACTCGGTCGAAGGTGGGCCGCTGGGGGTGGTGCAGCGCTGGCTTAGACCGCAGGAAGATCTGGGTTTGGTCCTCAACACCACGAAAAGGGGGACGGGGAGGATTAATTAACTGTAGAAGCGGGTAAGAATAGGAGACACACGTGGTAGGTGCAGGTGACATTATTTATTTGTTCCCTTGGTCTGGAGGAAGAGGAAGTGAAGTTCTCCTCCCCCCTGCGGGTCCCATTTTCTGCGTGGAGCGCTCGGTGTCCAGTCCCCGCACCAGCCCCCGCTCCCGCCCGGCAGAGTCAATCCTCCCGTGTTGGGGCAGAGGAGGCGCCCACTCGCCTTTTGTGCTCGCGACACCAGCTAACACTGTTGATGTACACCGCGAGCCTTGCACCGAGCCCTCCCGCAGAGCACGGGGAGGAGCCCCGCCAGCCAAGTCACCTGTGGCTGCTCCCGACGCCATGGGCTGTCATTTGCCGCCACCTTGTGGCGGCGAGGGGAACTCTGCGTCCCATTTCCATCCCTGATAACCCAGAGGGCACGGAGCACCTGCTGCCTGCACGGTCCCCAGTTAAGATCCTGAAGACTCGCTTGCAAATGAGGCAGCCACAGCCCTGCCTTCAGGGAGCTCACAGTCTCCGGAGAGAGACCGCCAGAAACCAAGACGAATGAGTGGACACAAGGACTAGAATGGGATGCCGGCTGGGCAGGGAACAGGAGCAGCTCACTGCAGGGACAGTGGGAGGCAGGTCTGATTCCCCCACAGGGACGGACCAGTTCATCCAGGGCCGGCGCAGAGGAGCTGCTGGGTGACACAGCGATCCAGAGCCAGCGTCTGGGCTCCTGCAGGCCAAACAGATGAGGAGTGGAGAGGCAGGACTCAGCAGGGGAGAGCTGGGCCTCCGCGAGTCCCGGTGGGCTGAAGGGTTCGGATGTGAGCTAAAATGAGGGGGTGGGCAGATGTCGCCTTCCTAGGATGGTCCTGATCCGCCTTGTTCTAAACCTCCCTCCGCTGGTTTCTTGAAGCCCCTCCCCACTTATTTTTCTCCCTTTGGCATTTTTCACCACCTACTTCTGTGCCTTATTTATTTAATGTCTGTCTCCCCTATGGAATGAAGACCCACGAGGGCAAGGAAGTCTGGTGTGTTCTCTGGTGACTCTTCAGCGCCTGCAGGGCCCGACGCAGAGCGGGGGCTTTGTGGACACGTGCAGAACGCCTGGAGGGGCCTCCTGGGCACGGCCAGGTGGAGGAAGGAGCGGGGCTCCAGCCCAGGGCTGCGGGACGAAGCCGAGGTTAACCTGAGCGAGGGACGATGCACCTGCACTGATGGGCTGAAGTACACTGCGCCGGAGGCACTGGCCCGGCGGGGCGCAGAGCCCACCTGGGGGCAGGGACCTCCCAGCCGCACGGCGGTTCCCGAGGCTGGGCGCCTTAGGGGCGGGACGAGAACACAGGGCCGTCCGGAGGCGTGGCCAATCCGGAGGAAGGGTCGGGATGAGGGCGTGGTCAAGCAAGGGACATACAAAGTGAGGGGGGGGCTAAGAGGGGAGGGAGTAACCCGTCCGGGGCGGGGCCAGTAAGTGAGCAAGGTAAACCTGGGCGGGGCCCTGGCAGGCGGCGTGGGCGGGGCCAGCCCGATCTCCGCTGTCCCGGGTCCTGGAGCGCTCCGGGCCCGGCAGGTCTCTCTCCAGCCTCTCGGGCTCCTCCCCTGCTGGCCGGACCGCCGGGTTGTGCTGGACTTAACGCCCCTGGCCTGGCAGCCGCGGTCGGGCTCCGCCCCAGGCGCTGTGCTCCCGCTCGGCGACCGCTGGAGGCGCGGCGAGCTCAGCTCCTGGGCCAGGCGAGTGCCAGGACACTGCCCCCCAGGCTGTGTCCCCAGAGACTCCAAGAGCTGAGGTGAGCAGGGTTGCGGGGGCCTGTGCGTGCCTATGCGTGTGTGCCTGCTTCTGTGTGGGTGTGCAAGTGCGTGTGCGCATGAGTGTGTGTGCACGTCTGTGTACATCAGGGAAAATCTGTGTGCGTGGATTTGGGTAGGTGTGTGCTTCAGAGAGCTGCGTGAGTGTGCAAAGTTGTGTACCTGTGCATGGTGGTCCTGTGTGGGAGGGGAGTCATGCATGTGTGTGGCAGAGACAGTGCGGGTGAAATTTGGTGACCCTTGTGTGTATGTGAGAGTGTCTTGGGGGGAAATAGGAGCGCAGGATACTTGGGGGGCTATCCGTCAGGATGTCTGTGGCAAGCTGTGGGAGCATGTGTGAAGAGAATGGTGGGAGTGTAGGAATTGCGTGTGTGCGCGCTTGCGTGTGTGTGCGCGTGCATGTGACGGTGAAGGGTGATTCTGGGGACCCTCCCTGTGAAGGGGTGGGAATGGAGGAAGGTTTGGAGGTGCTAACTGCTCTTGGAAGGGTGAGTGTAGTCTGGGGTCTTGGGTAGTGGACAGGACAGGTGTTTGAAGCCTGGCCTGGACTAACTTGGAAATCGTATCAGGTGCCTCACTTTGAGGGCTGGAGAGAAGTGTGGGTGGGCCAGAGGGGTTGGGGAGTGTCCCTGCTTGGTGTGAAAGGAGCTACTGTCTCACCAGTCACCCCTCACCCAGGCTCTGTGCTGGCCACCATCTGGGTGGCTTCCAAGTGTGAGCATGGTGCAGAAGTACCAGTCTCCTGTCCGTGTCTACAAGTACCCTTTCGAGCTGGTCATGGCGGTGAGTGACCCTGGATTTTCGGGCCCCTCGTGGGATAGTTGGAAGGACTCAGGAAACCAGCTATGGTGGGAAGAAGAGGGAGCTCCCTGGACCCCCAGATGAGAAAGCATTATTGAGTTATTCAGCTACCCTGGTCAGTCAGGCTTCTGACCAGTCACCCTCCTACCTGACTGTCCCTTCCCACCTTTTCAGAACTTCTGGAATCCCTGCCCAGTGACCAGAACTTAAGAACTGTTTGTCTTCCCCTAGTTGAAAGCTTACCTTGCTCTTACTTCAGACCCTTTGGCTGGGAAACAAGGATATCGGGGCTAAATGACTGGTTTCCTTTTTGTAATAATAATAGGTGCAAATTATTACAAAATATTATTTTGTAATAATAATAAAGCATTGAACATTTGCATTGCTAACTCTTCACATGCAAGGTTTCCTTCAATTTATTAATCCCATTTACTTCTACTAGATAGAAGCTCATACAGGTTGAGGGGTGGTCCCAAATTCCGTCCCAGGGAGAGGTGGAGTCAGGACTCAGATCAACTCAGAGGGGACTCCAGAGTCCTGATTTTAACCACTGTGTCCCCAGACCCTTGTGTGTGCCCTTCAATGAAGCTGAGACCAGGAGGTGAGAGGGGGTGAATGAACAGGTGGGAAGGGTCTGGCCCAGGGCGTTCAGGACACGTCACAGAAGCTGTGCCACCTATCAGTGTTGTGTGGCCAGCTAACGTTGGTTGCCTCCTGGATCCGTGGCCTTTGTGCTGTGGGACAGGCACTGGGGACGGGCTGTCATAGGATTCCTTCTTAGTGTCATTGTTCTGTCTCTTGGAGCTTCTCTTTCCTGCTTGGAAAAATGAGGGCAGCGCTATGGGGTTGGGGTGAGGAGTCAATGAGATGGTTCATGGTGCCCTCAGAGGCAAGGCCTTGTGCTGGTGGGAGCCCCCAGTGCAGGCTGCTCCCAGTTACTACACCAGGCCTTATAGAGGCTTGTCTCCAAAGTGTGGAGACAACTGAGTCCACCCCTGTCTGCCCCACCTGCCCCTGAATCCTGGGGAATCCCAGCTCCACAGCTGCCTGGCCGGGTGACCTCTCAGAGCCACCACTCTCCACGTCTACAGGGGGATCATCTGCTTTTCAAATCCGGTCAACACTAGGAGGATCAATTTATGGAAGGCTCCAGTGCAGGGTCTGCTTGCGGCGAGGGGGGGGGCTGCTGCAGGAGGCCGCGTGATTGCTGTTGTCGTCTGTCTTTCCTTCTTTGTCATGGGGGTGGGACTCCAGGTGGGCGATGAAGAGACCCAGGGGCACAGAGTCGGAGGGGCTAGGTCCCCACTGCTGCTCTGCGGTGTTCTGGCTGCGTGTCTTTGGAAGGTTTCTGAACTTCCCTGAGCCTCGGTTTCTTCATTTCTGAAATGGGGAGGGTTCAACGCACCTCATGAAGTTGTCACAAGGATTAAAAGTGGTCGTTGCCCGGCACAGGGCCCAGTCCTACCAAGCAGACAAAAAATGGCAGATCAATATAAATAACTATGCTTGGTCCAAGCCTCCTGGCAGCACATGTATTCTAAAGACCTGAAAACTCACCGACTCATTCAGTAGAAGAGAGAGAGAAGTAACCTTCTGGGATGGTCCAGGGAGCTGTGAATCTTGGCCACTGAGCTAAGACACGTCACCATAGAATGAAAAACCAACTATGGCACAGGCTTAAAAAATGTGAACTCAGTTTTGCATGTTCAGGGTTCCCAAAAATATTTACAGTCACTGTACTTTAAAAAATCACATGCCGGTGCACTTGCTGGGCCTGTGTGAGGCACTGGGTTAGATTCTCAGCACTGCATATAAGTAAATAAAATAAAGGTCTATCAACAACTAAAAAGATAAATAAATAAATAAAAGAATATATATTTAAAAAATCACATGCCTGTGGATGTCTTAATATGACTGGCACCACGGATCACCTGCCTTTGCTGGAGCAGGTTAAACCTGCACTGAAAGACTTCATCCTGAAAATGCAGGATGGCTCAGTTACCCCCCATCTGTAATTGCCTCCAGGTGTTAATGGATCTGAGCACCTACAGTAGAGGCTTGTGGATAGGTATATTTATTTATTTGTTTATTTTTTTGTATTAAATATGGACACAATACCTTTGTTTTACTTACTTATTTATATGGTGCTGAGGATAGAATCAGGGCCTCACGTGTGCAAGGTAAGTACTCTACCACTGGGCCCCAGCCCCAGCCCCAGCCCTGTGGATAGACATTTTTTTTTTTTTTTAAGAGAGAGAGAGAATTTTTTTAATGTTTATTTCTTTTAGTTTTTGGCGGATACAACATCTTTGTTTGTATGTGGTGCTGAGGATCAAACCCGGGCCGCACGCATGCCAGGCAAGTGCGCTACCACTTGAGCCACATCCCCAGCCCAGATAGACATTTTTTAAAAGGTGTTTTCAGGGCTGGGGTTGTGGCTCAGTGGTGGAGCACTTGCCCCGCACGTGTGAGGCACTGGGTTCGATTCTCAGCACTGCATACAAACAAGTAAATAAAATAAAGGTCCATCAACAAGTAAAAAAATAATTTTTTTAAGTATTTTCTATTACTTATTATCCATACCAGTGTTAATTTATTTGTACTTTTCAAAGGGACTGTCACAACCATGTCTTATCTTCTGTATGGTCCTTGTTGGCGAAACGGTCCCAAGCCACAGAAACACTGCCCACAAAGCCACTTTGCCGACTGTTTACAAAACATTATTGTCCCCAAAATAGCTGCATAACTGCACATAACTTGCAGGCGGTGTGGGCACAAAAGGGGTTTTTCTGCACTTAAGGTCCCTCTTTGTCTCCCAGCTAAACACTTGCCCTCAGTTTGGATCAGATGCCGGGGAAGTTCCAGATGGACTCAGCTGTTTCCACTGCATCCAAGTGACCAAGGAGCTGGTCTTCTGGGTTTTGTTTAACAAAACCAACTTGAGATTCAAAGTGTCCCTTGCTTCTTCAAAAGTCCACCAACAGTGACATAAATAACTGAAATTGGGCTCATGGAATTGGTTATAATTCCACTGTGAGGGGTCCTTTTCAAATCCCTCTCCAAAAAAACATATTTTTTCTTTGACTTCCAAAGTGTATCTAGGGCTGGGATTGTGGCTCAGTGGCAGAGCGCTCACCTACGTGCATGAGGCACAGTGTTTGATCCCCAGCACCACATAAAGATAAACAAACAAACAAAAAAATGAAATAAACAAAATAAAGGTATTGTGTCCATCTACAACTAAAAATATATATATATTTTTTAAAAAAGGTGTATCTAACCAAGGCCAGGCGCGGTGGTGCACACCTAAAATCCCAGCAGCTTGGGAGGCTGAGGCAGGAGGATTGTGAGTTCAAACCTAGCCTCAGCAGCTCAGTGAGGCCCTAAGCAACTCAGCGAGACGAATAAATAAAATTCAAAACAGGGCTGGGGATGTGACTTAGTGGTTAAGCACCGCTGGGTTCAATCCCCAATGAAAGAAAGGAAGGAAGGAAGAAAAGGAGGGAGGGAGAGAGGAAGGAAGGAAGGAAGGAAGGAAGGAATCTAATCAAAGGAATGGATATCTCTTTCCAAATTCCTGCATGGGAGTTGGACTCCTGAAGGCGGGATTCCAGGGCCTCTGCTTCTTTCTTGATGGCATTCTATATGGACGTCCCAGAGAGTGGGCTGGTGTTGCCTTGGCGAGCAGAGAAAGGAATCCAGAGTGCCTGGGGAGGGTCCTTGTCCTTTGAATGCCTGGTCCTAGCAGGTGGGCGGAGGGGGTGCTGTCTCTGTGGAATCTAGGTTCTCCTCTTTCCCAGATGGTGCTGGTGAAGAGCCAGAACCACCCTGCTGGGTCCCTGCCCTGGCCTGGGCACACTCCCTTCTTCCTCTGAGCTTCGGGGTCTCTGGGAAACGGGGGCCATTGAAGCTCCTGGGGAGGAGCAGGCAGCGTTGAAGTGAGGATTCAGTCGAGGGCTTGGTGCATGGACGGGGCTCACTGGCAAATGTGTGTGAACCACGGCTTGTCCTCGTCCTCGGCTGGGGCTTGAATGGCTGCGTGGGAATCATTCACACACAGTTTGCTCACCCGTTTAAAGGATGGGAGTCCACAGTGTTAGTGGAGTCATGGACCCCGCAACCCTCGCCACATCCATTTTGGTGCTGGGGATTGAGCGCACAGCCCACGTGTGCTAAGCCCACTCTCTGCCAGGAGGCGCAAGACCCCCAGCCCTTGAGCACTTTGATCACCCTCAAAAGCAGCTCCCTCCCACCCCTTGGCCATGTGCCCCTCATCTCTCTCCTTCTCTGGACCTGGCAGCCTGCCCCCCAACCCTAGGTCACCGCCCATCACTTCTGTCTCTGTGGATTTGTTTTTTCTGGACATTTGGTATCAAGGGCATCTGACAATACATGGAGCTTTGTGTCTGCCTTCTCACACTTAGTGTAATATTTCTTTAAATAAATCTCTTCATTGAGATATGACTGACATGTAAAAAGCTGAGTTTTTGTGTTGATGGGCCTGGGGATGAGGATCCGCCCAGGTGTATGATGTTCTCAAGGCTCGTCCACCGAGCAGCAAGGATGGTACTGCACTCCTCTTCATGATCAACGATGCTTGGCTGCGTGGCTACAGCACGTTTGTTTATCCATCAACCAGTTGACAGACATAGAGGTTGTTTTCAATTTGGCGCTTTTGTGAATGATAATGCTTCTCGTAAACGTCTTTGCACAAGTCTTTGCATGGATATATTTCTTCCAAAGAGATCTCTGCTGTGTTTGGTGTTGTTGTTTTTTTTTTTTAATGGATTTAAACAGGTTCTTTTTTCTTTCTTTCTTGTTTAAGGAGGATTTATTTTGGCTCACGGTTTCAGACCACGGTCAGCTCTCTCCATTGCTCTGGACTTGTGTTCTATATTATTTTTATTTTTGAGATAGGGTCTCTCTAAGTCACCGTGACTGGCCTTGAACTTGCGATCCTGAGGCCGGCATGCTAAGGAGAC